AAAAAAAATTAAAAAATTAAAAAAAAAAGGAGGGGTGGAGTTGAAAGGAATAAAGGGAGTGAACTACCCTTAGCCTCAAATTCAATTCTTGCCTGAAGAACTCCAGAACTCTCATATCATTATTTTTAAGACAGGAGAAAGCCAAAGCAAAGTATTCTTATGAAGCTGTGAAAAAATCTGCCTATGTGAGAAAATCTCAGAATGTTCAAAGAAATGGATAACCAAGTCTCTGAAGGTATGAAATGGAGAAATGGTTTATTCTCTAGAATCAAGATTGATTCCACAAGATAAAGTGCTTTCCAAACTGTCAAAATTGGAACACTGAAGACACATGAGGTACCAGGCCACACACACACACACACCCTTACGATTATCTATGATAAATATACACAATGATAATAATGACTAGCATTTACTAAGTGATTATGTGCTGGCATATATACTTTTCATACACAAGGAAATTAGAAGTTAACTCCTTTGCCTGCCAAGAAAGTAGAGGATTAGGATTCAGGTCCCCTTAACCTTAAGCCCAAGAATGCTCTTACAGATTGTGTTATACTGCCTCCTACAGGTAATCAAAGGCTACAGGATAAGAAAAAAAAACAACCAAAAACCCGGAATTCTGTCCATAGGAATAACTCAATTCTTGAACAGGTCACTCATATTAACAAGACAGATATGTAGGTGGTATCTGGGGTAAACAGCAAGGTTAACACCCACAAACTAACGTTAGAATGAAAACAAAAAAAAAATCAGGATCAATTCAGAGGGGAAACATCTGAAACTCAATCAAGGGAACCAATATATGTATACACACCCTTAGACACACAGGATGTACTTACTAAACTGTATTATCCTCAGCCTAATGAAAGTATGTCCTAAGAAAAAAATGGTATCTTATATCTATAAAAATTTTTGAGGGGGCAAAGGGAAAAGGAAGGGTAAATCAGAGATCAAATTCAGAAAAGATTTTACCTAGGTAATGAATCCCCTGATCCAGATAATGCCTAGGGGAGAAGGTTACACCATACTAAGTCTATCATAAGGTTATCCAACTAATTCTAATTCCCCTTCCTCTGATTTCAGGTTCACTAAGCAGCTAATTATATTTTGCATTCCCATTCAGATTTGCCTAGAGGGACAGACTATGCTGACAAGAAAAGTAACTGGGTCCACATGTATATTAAGAATATATATATTCCTTCTCATTGTCTTTTTGTAGTTTTCTGAATAACCAACCTATGATTATTTAGAAAAATATGCTTTCATTTTCACAAGTCCCCCTCCTCCATCATCTTACAAAATAACTTAATATATTACTTAACTCTTTAAAGCTTCTACTTCCACTTCTATAAAATGACTTTGCAGAGTTAAGGTGATGTGTGTTCGGCATACATTACACAAGGAAATGCTAGTTATATTTCACTCCATTGCCCAAGCTCATAAAGCTAGTAATTGTAGAAAGCTGAGATCCGAACCCAGATTTGCTCTAAAACCCATTCTTTTTCCATTACAACATTCTTTATAGGCCCTAGTCCCAGTTGTCATCGAGGACTCTAAGACTTAGGACAATTTACTTAACCTTTTGGGGCCATATATCTTTAAGTGACCTTCCTTCTAGGGCTTAGGCAACTAAAATTTGTACGGAGACTATTGCCATTCTCCACTGGGAAAAATAACCCTATGCTTTAAAGTTAACTTCTGAGAAACTGCTGTGCTATGGGGGGTTATTGGATAGCGCCTAATTAACTCCAGTGTTGTGAACAGCAAGATCACTCCAATACACACACACAGAGACTAGTATCTGAAAGCTGACTTTCTAAAGTCAATGAATGGCTACCAATACAAAAAAATGAATTCCATCCACCACATTGGTTGTCCAAAAACTCTTAAACGATAAGTGCTCAACATCTATTTGGCTTGAAAAGGGATTACCAAAATGTTAAGACTACTATCTTTAGACTGGAAATATTAAAACAAGAAATAACTAAGGTACAGCTTATGTTTTGTAACTAAGGACTTATGTTTTCAAGCAGTTTAGTAAATAAAGTCTCTACCAACCTACTACCTGATAGAAATAACCTCACGTGAAACATCTCTAATATGCTAAGTGTAAAATGAACTGCATTTACAAGAAGGTTTTTAAAAGGGAGGATTAGAGAAAAATCTCAGCACAAAAATCTGGGTAGGAGGAAACAAGGAAAAACTACAGTAATTTACCAAAAGCATGCCTTTGGTAAGAAAGTTCAACAGAGATGAATTTAGTAAAATTATTCATGGGGAGTGTTACCCAAATAGCTTGCTCTACATTTACATACTGCTCTCATAATTCACATTATCCTGACCTGATATAAAGAACTTTCTCAGCTGAACGTTTTCCTGAAAGGGTTAGCATCAAAGGTTAAGGAAATTGTTTAATTCATTCTTCAAAGAGTTGCCAGATTTGACTTCCACCAGCATGCTGAAAGACTGAAACATAAGGCAGCGTTTCTAAACTCACAGCTAATAAAATTTTTGACCGCGAAATCAACTTTTTGGGGTTAAAACTTTCAAACTCACTTTATTAAACTTTTAAAAAATTCAATCCCATGGACAAAGAAAGGAGTCATCAAAAAAATTCAGCGCTACGATTAGAAAATTGTCATTCCTTCCCCACAACCCCCAACACAGATAACTTTTGAAAACTTGTTCCCAGGCTTTCTAAACCCCCACGCACGAGCTCCCTTCATTGCCACAACTGGAATGATGATGCCTTCACCCAGGAAAGTGTTTTGGTTTTTTTTTTTTTTTTTAGCTGATAAATCTTTCCTTTAAAGACCTTAAAAAGTAGGAGGATATACTGTACCTGGGCGTTGGCTTCGTGGAGTTTGTGCTCGGTAGAGACGTGATGTCTCAGAAGAAGGGTTTTCTTGTAGTTTCGGGTCCCTCGCGAAAGCTCATCGTGCCCCACTTGAGGAAGGTCCCCGCTTCCCCCGTCCTCAGGGGTCTTTTGGCACCAGCCGCAAGACATAAGGCCAGTATCCTTGGAATACCGCAGCCAGGGAAAATCTTTGAGCCAAGAGGTCTGGAAGGAGCACTGTAGCTTCTGCATTAGGGACTTGGGCCGCGCGAGCGGGAAGTGCTGGACAGTCTCTCCTTCGCCAGCTCCCACACCGCTGCCCTCCACTTCGTCCCCGCCATCTCCGCCCGACCGCCTGCTGCTGCTGCAGCTGCCGCCTTCCGCCCCGCTGCCGTCGCCCAGGCTCGCCCCCTCCTCCTCGTCCTCGGTGCTGTCGCTCAGGGACGCGCCGTCCTGCATCAACTCCTTCCCCTCCAGCGCGTCCAGCTCCAGATCCACAGCCGCTGGCCCTCGCCCATTGAAATGCCTCAGGGGCCACGCCGAGGTCTCGGGGCGGCCGCGGCTACTGCCATTGTTGCCGAGACCCCCGCCGCCGCCTCCTCCTCGGAAGGCCAGAGTCCGACGGTTCCTTTCCGCTAGCAGGGGGCCCCCCGCGCCACCGCCGCCCAGCGAGGTGGGGCCGCCCGCGTCTTGGGGGAGCAGCAACTCCTTGGTTTCCTCGGCGGCGGCGGCCGCCCCAGCGGAGGCCTCCAGGTCTTGGGGCTCCAGGCCCTCCAATTCCACTTCCTCGTCGGCCCCCCGCCCATTGAGCTGCTGAGGCGCTAGCGGCTGGGGTTGTCTTGGCTGGGGCTGCTGAGGCCAAGCCGAGGCCTCCCCGCCAGCGTTATTGTTCGTGGAACTGCCGCCGCCGCCGCTGCCGCCGCTGGCGGTGACCAACCCGCCTCCTCGGAACGCCAGCGTCCTGCGGTTCATTTCACTGAACGACATGGCGCGCGCCGCCGCCGCCGCCCGGTGCCCCGGCTCGCGCCCGGCCTCGGGCCGCGTCCCGCGCGTTCCCCGCCGCTCCCCCTCGGCTTCGCCCCCGCCCCCACCCCCGGCGTTCCGGTCTCGCGGGGCTCGGCCTCGCCCTCCCGCCCGGCCGCCCGGCTCGCGCTCGCTCCCGGGGCTGCCTCACGCGTCCACCACCGCCCGCCGGGCCGCCGCCTCCGGCCGCCTCCTCGTCCTCCACCCCCGCCCCGCTGTGCTCCGGGCAGCGTCCCGCGCGGAGAAGGGGGCGGGCGGCGGAGAGGTGAGCAGCGAGCCGGGGGCGCGTGGGGCCTTCGAAGTTGAGAGGCGGAGTGCGGGGAGACCCTCCGCTGCCCCCTCTTTAAAGCCGCGCGCACACACCGACCCTCCAAACAGATATCCTTCCTCCGGTGCGCCGAGGAGTCCCGACGCCGCCGCCGGCTTCCCAGGCGCTGAGGGCGAGAGGCACGTTAAACTGCTAGGCTCCGCCACATAACGAACCGACAATAAAGCCGGCGGAGCGTTTCCGTCCGACCAGGCCCTGGCGGAGGTCGAATGGCAAATGAACAACGGACCGTGCGCCCACAATGCACCGGGGTAGCAGTAACCGCTGGAGGGGGAAAGGGTGGGGGCCGGGCTGGGGGAGGGGGGCTGGGCTTGGGGCTGGGCTGGGGTGGGGTGGGGGCGCCAGGGGACCGGGAAAGGGGCTGGGCCGCGCCTCCGGCCTGGGGGCGGGGGTGCGGCCGGGGGGGAAGGAAGTCGGCCGAGGGGCGGGGGACAAAAGGCCGAGCGGCTGGCTGGGGGTCTCGGGGAGGGGGCGGGCGTGTGCGGCCGGGGCCGGGCTACGCGGAGGACAAACAGCTGGCGAGTGTCAGGGTCTGGCCGCCTCCCCGCTGCCCACACGCACCTACCCGCGGCCGGGACGCACATTTTCCTTCTCTCGCCACGAGTTCACCTGGGACTTTAGAAATAACTGTGCGGTGGGAGCTGCGCTCCAGCCTTGTCATTTGCCTAGGGGTGGGTGGCGGTACCCAAGGAAGTGAACTTATTTTGTTCCTTCACAAAGACTGGACCAGGCGGTGCCTTTCACGCGAGGAGGTTACAACCACCGACACCTCCTCGTCTGCAGCATTGTGTGTGCGAGGCACCACCTCAGGCCCAAGGCAATAATCATTTCACAGAAAATGCACCGCCCCGAGTGTCTTATTGCTGTGATGAAATGGAAATTTAAATAAAAGGTCGAACACGTGCGTTCACTGGGAAGTATTGACATGGGTGTTACATCACCACCAGCCAATCAGATAACTCCAGTCGTGTTTATACTTCTACAACCACCTTGTGAGTATTACAGTATGTCATAACGTTATAAATATTAGGCAGGGTTTTCCCCAGGAGCGGGGAGGAGTCTGCTTCTACGGACGTTGTGTGCGACTCCAAGGACTGTGTGTCTTAAGACAAGAATTAATTTTTCAGACTTATTTTTTAATTGTTTACATTGCGTATGGAATGTAGAATGATTAAAAGAACAGACTGAGCTAGAAACGAAACTCATAATCTTGGTCGAGTTTTCCAGAAGAAGGTTTTCCAATTTAGAGCCCTTCTCCTTTTTTTGAAATTTTAGTATGCTAAATTTAGCTAAAGTGTTTAGACTCGTTTTATTGTTTTAAAATGTGAAATTTTAAATTATTTTTTTTTCAAACCTATTTCAGGTTAAAAAAAGATGTTCTCAAACTATGGCGAGGCTTTTTAACTTTTTAAAGAAATATATTGAAAGTTTAATCACAAACTAATATGAAATATGTTCAAGATAATTACTCTTGAAAAAGGGAAAAAGGACATTTATATGACAGGGTACACTTTTTACATTAATATATGTTAGAATGTGCATAGAAAAAAATTGGAAATACAAACTCTACAGTTACAAATTATCTATGGTTAGAGGCCTTAATAATCTGCATTAAATATTAATGGGAAATTTTATGTTTAATAAAGAGCATGTGTTACAATTTTTAGGTCCTCAAGTTTGATGATTCTGTTCTTTTTAAATTTCTATTTTTCAAATAAGAAAATTATTTAAAAATTTGAATATATATGTGGAGTAAGGAATATGGTATGTTTCTCAAGATTAGCTTTAAAAAGCAGTTTCCCAGACATATTATAAAATACCATTAATATTAATATTTTTCAATGGCTATACATATGCATGCACATCCAGACTCATATATGCTATTGATTGTATAGATTTATTCAAAGCAACTTCCACTTAAATTCTCTATAATTTTAGTACCAGTATAAATGAATGGTGTTGTATATGAAACAAAAAAATATTAGTTCTATCTTTTAGATGAAATGTAATTTTAATGTAAAGAATGATACATTAACCTGCCACAAAAAGATTTTGGCTTTGAATTATTTTTCCAGTAATGATCATATTATCACCTATCCATATGGTCACCTGCCCACCAGTGATCAACAGCTTCAAATTCTGATACAAATCCTCAGATTGGCATTGTTGGTGGTTTTTTTTTTTTTCTTCATTTTGTCCTGCTTTGTTTTAGTTATTGGAAAGTCTGAGACAGTAGACTCATGACATTGACCTAATCTGTACCTTGGAGAAGATAGGATTCTGCCTGTTGGGGTACATATAATATGTGCTTCCATGTAATATATGGAAGAATGCTATAACAATACAGTACTTTGTCCTTAATGCATTTTTTCAATTCCAGGCACTTTGCAAATAAATACATTATTTACTGTATTTTAACCACCAGTGCCTCTCCCATAAAAAGAGTTACTAAAGTTAATTGCTCATCTAGGATTAAGGTAATGGTAAGTGAAAGTGGGTTTAAGAATTTTTATTTCAACTTTACAAATTATTTTCATTCCAAACTGTTAAATGAACATCTTTGCTTCTTTTCATCTTATATGTTTAGTACATAATAGGAATTTTGCTAGTATTATTTTTGCTTTCTGGTAGCACTAGAACCACCAAAAATGTTTGAATCCCTACTGGTGTGAATTGTGTCAGGACTGTATTTTTCTCAGACATATATCTTACCTTATATTTTGTAAAATCCACTTTGTCTTCTGTCTGGAATTATATTTAAACATGGATTAATTGGGAATGAACTTTAGATTCAAATGGTACAAGTAAATGACTTAATTTGTAGGACTATTGAACTCCTAACAGCCAAATAGTGTGAGTGTGTGGTGTATGTATGTGTATGTATTTATATTTTTATTGTTTTTTCTATATAAATATACAGGTCTTCCTGATATATATAAAGAAATATTAAGGTCTTCCTCTAAACCTTAAGGGAGATGGAATCAAAATCAAAGTTCAAGAGGATAGTAATCACAAACGTCTCAAAACAGCTGTATGTATGAGGGAACTTTGAGTAACATAAGGGGATCTCCTGTTCTGTAAATGGAGTTTTTAAGAATTCCCCCACCCCTTCCAGTCTCCTGCTAGCAAGTAGGGATCTGTTCTCCCCTTAGCCCCTACATTTACTGTTGGGGGTTCTACCATATTTAAGGGGATTCCCCCTTATGCTTACCAGGGGAACCCCTCAAGAATGGGGCATTCCCCAACCAATTTATCCCCTAATTTCACTTTAGGCTGTGTAAAATTCTGTAGGTTACCGTGATACTGTTTCACTATAACTGCTGTGAGGCTGACATCCTATACCTGGTTCATCTGATCTTTGATAGTCAAACTTGACAGTCAGTTACTGCTTTGGTGGGGGCACTTTGCCTCTTTAGTTCTAGGGACAATAGCCTATGATTCTGTCTGTGGGATTGACATGTGTCATCTACCAGATTGAAGTACCTGAGAATGGAGACTATGTGTTACTCACTTTTATAATTCCCTATCCCAATCCATGCTTGGCACATAGTAGGGGATTAGTATATGTTTGTTGAATAATTTATCTTCCCTTGCAGTTTAATTTGGTAGACAACTTTTTCCTCTGTTTCTTCTTTTTTTCTTTCCTTAGCTAAGTAAGAATATTGAACTAATGTTTCCATCGAATTTACATTAAAAACAATAATCATATACATACAATGGAATATTATTCTGTCCTTAAAAAGGAGGGAAATCTTGCCATTTGTAACAATATGGTTGAAACTGGAGGACATTATGGTAAGTGAAATAAGCTAGACACAGAAGGAAAAATATTGCATGATACCACCTCTATGAGGTATTTAGTTAAACTCATAGAAGCAGAAATTGGAGTAATTGTTGCCAGAGATTGGGGAGAGAGGGAAATGAGAGGTATTAGTCAAAGGGTGCAACATTTCAGTTATATAAGGTGAATAGTCTTAAAGATCTCCGGTATAGCATAGTGCCTATATTTAACAATACTGTACTGTATACCTAAAATTTTGCTAAGAAGGTGGGTCTTAAATGTCTGTATCACAAAAAAAGTAATAATAAAGTGGGCAGTAGAAAACTTTGGAAGGTGATGGATATGTTTATGGAATAGATTGTGGTGATGGTTTCACAGGTGTGTATTTATCTCCAATTTGTATACATTCAATAGTACTGTGGGTGGCCTGGCTGGCTCAGTCAAAAAAGCATAGGACTCTTGATCTCAGGGTCATGAGTTCGAGCCCCATGTTGGGTGTAGAGATTACTAAAAAAAAAAAAAAAAAAAAGTAAACTTAAAAAAGAAATAAAAGCTTTAAGAAATATATGTACAGCTTTTTGTATGTCAGTCACACCTCAAGAAAGGGGTTTAAGCCAAAAAAGCAATGATGTTTATGTAGTTGAATGTAAATCATATTTTCTATATAGCTTACAGTGAATTATGAACAGTTACACACCTTCCTTTTATTTTGTTTTTGTTTTTGTTTTTTTTATTTATTTTTGAGACAGAGAGACAGAGCATGAACAGGGGGAGGGTCAGAGAGAGAGGGAGACACAGAATCTGAAACAGGCTCCAGGCTCTGAGCTGTCAGCACACAGCCTGAAGGGGGGGGAGGGGGCGCTCAAACTCACAGACCATGAGATCATGACCTGAGCCAAAGTCAGACGTTTAACCTACTGAGCCACCCAGGCGCCCCTACACACCTTCCTTTTGAATGAAATCAAGATAGGTATTATTATCCTTATTTAAAAGATGAGGAAACTCAAGTACAAAAGGGTTAACCAACTTGCTCAAGGTTATTGGATGAAGCAAAAGTTATATTTGTAAGGTTGAAGACAATCTCTAGTCTAAGGCACCCGTAGCTACGAAAACACCACTATACACTGTGTAATCACAGGGTACACTAAATTTTAAACTTTTTTCATACTTTATACATGCTCATGGCAGAAAAAAATAAGAGAAAAGATCACTCATTATTTCTGGTACCAAAACTAACCACTGTCGTGTAAATACAATCTTACTCTTCTTCTGTGCCTAGCTAAAATTGTTTTTTGGTGTTTATGTCTTACATCTTAGCATATTTGTGCTTATGTTTATTAACATGTTTTAATATGATTAAATATTTTTAGTGTCATTTTAATGGCTATGGATATACCATAATTGATGTAATCAGTCTTCTGGTGTTGAACTTATCATTGCTTACAGTTTTTTGGTCATTATAAAAAATTCTTTAGTGAATATCCTTGAAACTAAAACTTTGTGTCTATTATTTCTTTAGGATAAATCCTAAAAGAGGAATTTCTCATAAAAGGAAAAATTTTAATAATGTCAGTATCATTTGTCCTCCATAAATGCTCATGAAAATGTAAAAAGTACCAAAAGAAAATACAATTAGGGATGTATTTTTATAATATTGGACAGTGAAAGACCTAGTTCTAAGTAGAACACAAAAGTAAGAGCCTTAAAGAAAAAGGCTGACTGGGGCACCTGGGTGGCTCAGCCCGTTAAGCATCAGACTTTGGCTCAGGTCATGATCTTGGGTTCAAGCCCCATGTTGGGTGTTGTGTTGACAGCTCAGAGCCTGGAGCCTGCTTCAGATTCTGGGTCCTGCCTCTCTCTCAGTGCCCCTCCCCTGTTCATGCTCTGTCTCACTCTGTCTCTCAAAAATAAATAAATGTTAAAAAAAAATTTTAAAGAAAAAGGCTGACAGAACTAACTATATAAATTTTAAAACTTTTTTTTTTAATAATAAAGATTTTTTTTTAAGTGAACTAGGAAAAAGAAATCTGGGGTATATATGGCAGACAAAGGCTTAATACCACTAATAATCAAAGGTCTCTTATAAATCAATAAAACAAACACATATCTAGTAAAAGAAAAAAATGTGCAAAGGACATAGAAATCTGTATAAGAAGAAGGGTGCCTGTGTGGCTCAGTTGGTTAAGTGTCTGACTTTGGCTCAGGTCATGATCTTGGTTCATGGCTTTGAGCCCTATGTCAGGATCTGGGGAGCCTGGAGCCTGCTTCTGATTCTTCGTGTCTCTCTCTGTCTCCTCTTCCCCCACTCACACTCTGCTTGTCTCTCTCAAAAATAAACATTAAAAAAAAATTTTTTTTAAACTATGTAAGAAATACAAGTAAGTAATAAATGTATGGGAAAATGTGCAGACTCGGCCAGTAATCAGAGGAGTGTGCATAAAAAACACCAGTGAATAAGTAATTTTTTTAATCCATTAGAAGTATAGCAAAATAAACATAATTAGAAATGTAAATAGGAATAGCTTAACATTAGGCTGGCTATATGTATCAAAACAAAAAAATATATGTATCTTTTTACCCAGCAATTTCCTTTCTAGAAATTTATCCTAGACAGGTTTATTAAGATGTCTGTGCAAGGATATTCACTGTAGCACTGTTTATAAGCCTAAAAAACTTGAGCTTCCATCCTGTGGGGTTGTTTACATACATTGTGGCACACACTTATCATGAATTATTCACTAGCCATTAAAAAGGTTCATATGGCATTTTATAAGTCCAAGGTTTATTGTTGAGTGAAGAAAGCAATATATTAACACATATAATGGGAATAATTAATTCATCCTATTAATATTTATTGATAGCCATGGTCCCTAGAATGTATATATAAGTTCATATGTGAATACTAGCATGGAGAGTAGTTTTAAAAGATTCACCAGAATGGGGACAATACTTAGTCAGTAGTTGAACTTCAGTTTCTAAAAAACTTTCTTAACACATTTTCTGTACTGCTTTATAGTGAAAATATAACTTATATTGGGTGTATAATCAAAAAAATCAATAAAGCTATTTTCATTTGGGGAGAAAAAGTTAACATCAATAATCAATGACAAACTTTACCCAGGACTTCTGGGAAGGTGTACTGTTCATTTTTCTTTTTCTATACTCACTGTGAACCCATTTTGCTTTGCTCCTAAAAAATAAACACAAAATATTTAAAAGCTAAAAAAACAGTGTTTCTTTTCTTAGAAAATCCCAATCCCTTTAAAACCTGATTTTTCAAAGTCTGAAGTTTATATGCAAATGTTCAGAGAAGAGTCTATCTCAGTAAACCATACATTCTTGCCCTGCCCTCTAATCCATTCCTACTGTGAAGCCAGTAATCTTTTCAGAATGCAAATCTTATCCTATCACCCCACCCACAATCACGCTTAAAACCCTACAAAGGTTTCAATTATTTTCTGTTTGTCTACATGTAAAAACACTTTCTAAATGCCTGTAGAGTCCAGCAAGATCTGGCTGCCTTTCATACTCTAGCCTCATCTCATGCCTAGCTCCCCTTGCCTCTAACACTCTCCTCCAGAAGGTAGCCTTTTTCTGTCCTTCATGTTTGCTTTGATACCTGTCTGGCCTTTGTAGAAGCTGTTGTTCTAGGTCAGTAATGCTTTTCCCTCCTTTCTCCTAATTAACCCACATTCATCCTTATATCACTTCCTCAGGGCAACTTTCCCTAACCACCCCCCCCCCCCCCCCCCCCCCCCAACATTCATGGGTGTTATTGATGATTCTTGTATTTTTTTTTAACTCTCCTTCACAGCACTTGTCATAACTGTAGTTTTTAAACATGTGTAATTATTTGATTCTTGCATGTTCCCCCAATAAACCGAAAACTCCATGAGGTCAAGGACTCTTTCTGGCTTGACTCAATAGTGTGTAGAAACAGTGACTATGACATCGCAGATAATTAGTAAGGATTTGTTGAATGAATCATATATGAATGTGCAAATTTGCAAATACTAAGTATGCACAATCTTGAACTTTCAACAAAAGACTAAAACAGATCAAAATGAACTACTAGAACAGAAATACAATAGGTGTTAAGTGTTGATAATACGTACCTGCTATACAGTGTAAGGCATTTTTATAAAGTGTACAGTTGTAGGAAGATTGTTTTGAAGTTTTTAAGAACTAAACTAGGTCTTTAAAAATATAAATAAATGAAATGTTTCATCTGTGAAGTTTTGCTTTTAATTAAAAATATTTGAAAATTCAGGGGTGCCTGGCTGGCTCAGTTGGTAGAACAGATGACTCTTGATCTCAGGGTTGTGAGTTCAAGCTCCATGTTGGGAATGGAGTGTACTTAAAAACTTATTATTTATTTATTTATTTTAAAAATTAGGTAGTGTCATTTATTTTTTTAAATTTTTTAAAAATATTTATTTTGAGAGAGAGTGTGAGCAGGGAAGGGACAGAGAGAGAGAGAGAGAGAGAGAGAGAGAGAGAGAGAGAATTCCAAGCAGGCTTTGTGCTGCCAGCACAGAGCCTGACACAGGGCTTGAACCCATGAACCATGAGATCATGACCTAAGCTGAACCAAGGCTCAGCTGACTGAGTCACCCAGGTGCCCCTAGGTGAGTACTATGTAAAAAAATATTTGAAATCCAGAATTTAATGATAGCTAACCATTTTGTCATTGCATTTATTTGTCTTTTAATTGATCACAAATAAGAGTTCACTGTACTCAGATGAAGTAAAAAGTAAAAGGCCTTCTTTGTATGTATGACTTGTTCAAAAATAGATCATGTTTACAATATGAATTTTTATATCGACTGTAAAGAATGAGAACAATAAGGTAGGAGCAGAGGCTTAATATTTATTTTTATTGAACACTGAATTATTAAAACCACATAAACTTTATCAATTTTTGTAGGAAGTCTATCTCAAATATTTAGTGTACAGATAACTGTTTGGTTCACAAATTCATTTCCCTGATAGGTTGATTAATTAGGCTCTGATCAGTAGCCACAGATTTCACGCTAATCCACCTCTTTCATAAGTTTACAAATACAAACCAGTTCCCTTCAGAAGGACCAGGTGAGAAAACATGGAAGAGAGAAAGATGCCAAGTTCCTAAAAGTACAGTGCTGGGGCTCCTGGGTGGCTCAGTTGGTTGTGTCCAACTCTGGATTTCAGCTCAGGTCAGGATCTCATGGTTCATGAAATTGAGAGCCATGTCAGGCTCTGTGCTGACAGCTCAGAGCTTGCTTGGGATTCTCTCTCTCCCTCTCCCCCGCCCCTGCTCTGGTGAACCCTCTCTCTTTCTCTCAAAATAAATAAATAAACATTAAAAAAAAAAAAAAAGTACAGAATCCGAAGAAGGCTGCAGGCCCTGAGCTGTCAGTACAGAGCCTGACTTCGGGACTCGAACTCACCAACCGTGACATCACGATCTGAGCAAAAGTCAGACACTTAACTGACTGAGCCAGCCACCCAGGCGCCCCTAAAGCAGGACTTTCTACACAACTTCACATAATGATTTCACAGAGGGCTTAAAAATTGCAAATAAGTTCCTTCCCCCAGAATTTGGAGGTAGTGTCAAGGTCAGAAAATACCACACTTTGAAACTAAAGCTAATAGAATTAATATACTTTCAGGTATATTCCAGTGCTCTTCAAACTGGAGTATGCTCAGCTCTGGAGGTTTCCAAAGAATTTCTAAGAACTATGTAACCAGCATGTAGTTTTGTTTTGTTTTGTTTTTAAGAGAATTAGTTGTCAGCCTTTAAATTTCCATATCACTGTTTTTCTAAAACTGAGCCGCTAGAGAGCCCATCCCCCATTGGTTTTCTGGTCCTACCTCCACCTTGCACAAACCTTTCTCCCCCTTCACCAAACAAAACAAAAACAAAACAAAACAAAAAAAAAAAAAAACAAAAAACAAACCCCCAAAAAACAGAAAACAAAAAAAAAAAGCAAACACATTTTACCCATCCCTAATATTAACTGTGTTATATTGCCCCAGGATGGAAAAGGGACACCAGACACAGAAAGTAAAATGTCCCTAATTACTTGGTAGCTATCCTTGTACAAATGTTTTTCAGCTTTTCCTTTAAACAAAAATGAAGACGGACCTAACTAAAGTGTCAGCTAATCATTAAAAATAGTTTTCAACAATAGATCACTAAGGGTTTTTTGCATGTAACTTCAAGGAGTTTAAAGAATTTGTGACGTAGTTAAAACAAACCCCTTCTATTTCCCTCATCCATAATTTTTTGTGAACAAATATTCTCAGCACATCTTAAAAAGAAGAAAAAAGGGAATAAAATGTATGACAAACTATTTCTCATCCTAGCAAACAAATTCTTACCACATTAATTAGTTGAAGAAACTCAGCTAATTAAGAAATGTATTTTCAGTAAATGTTTATATCGTGTTTAATATCAATATATTTATGTTGCTTTGACCAAATGTTCACTAGTAATTATAAAGGTAACTCATTTCAGGATATTTTATACATTTAGGGTTATAGAAATGTTGAAATTAAGTTTTAATTGATAACGGACTTCTAAATATAAGTGTCATATTATAAAACTGTGTGGAAGTAAAATGGAAGTAAAGGAATAATGTAAATTTTCCAACAGTTTGTTCATATATTTTTAAATGAATAGTGATGGGTATCAGTTGTAGTATATAGATTCCATTGAATGGATTTCCTCCCTTCCTTCCTTTCTTTTTTTTAAGTAGGTTTCACATCCAGCTCAGAGCCCAATGAGCAGCTTGATCTCAGGACCTGAGCTGAGATGAAGAGTCAGATGCTTAACCAACTGAGCCACCCAGTTACCCTTGAATGGATTTTTCTAAGAAGATATTTTATTTTGTAGTGTCAATATCTATCACATGCCAGAAATGACATTCATTCCAATAATTTGAATTTACAATGAAAATATCTCAAGTGCTATCTTAGAAATGTATGAAAGGGTGCCTAGTATTTTAAAATTATTTTGGGGGGGACACTGATCTAGTTCAGTGTGTCCCAAATGCTAATTTTCACCAGTTGGGAAAGAAAAAAAAAATAATAACCTAGAAAATTTTTCATAAAGTTAAATTTGTTCAATTTAAAAGGCTATTATTTTAAATTATATCCTTTCTCATGGTTTAGAGTTAAGATATATTTTAAAATTATGATGTTAACAAATGGTGGCTTTATTTTTAATGTTTTTTGCTTCATTGCTTCCTAAAATGTTTTTAAAAAGTTATTTTTATTAACTCACATGATTCAAAATCCTGAGAGAAACACCAGTCTAGTAGAATGTAAATAGGAATGTTTATTTTATAAAACAGAATATTCTGGACTTACTGAGGAATGGAGATATTCATTTTACTACCTAGTTTAGTGAACGTAACCAACAAGCATTTTAAAGACAAGTTTTGAATTTCTACTCTGTACCAAACACCAGGATTTAATAGGTAAATAAGATTGTCCCAACCCCCAAGCAACTCCCATTTCAATGAAGGAGAGGAACATGTAAAATTAATAATTATAATGGTTAAGTGTTGAGATATGTACAAATTGCTGTGGAAACATGGAGGATAAAATGATTATTGCTGGTTTTAAAAATTGAATTGCTAGGGAATATAGATGAAAGCATGAATTTTACCAAAATATAAGGAAAATTATCCTAGAAGTAAGAACATTTTAAGCAGTTCAAGTGTGTTTGGACTATAGAAATGCTTGAGGTGAGATTTGAAAAGAAAGAAGGGGGAGAGACCAATACAAAATTTGTTTTCTCTCCTGAAGCAATGGCAAGACTGAAAGATTTTTTAAGCAAGGAAATGACTAAATTGGATACTTCTTAATACCATCTAATTCCTAATTACAGGTTCATCCAACAATCTGATCTTTAATTTGGCCTCCTATGTAGATTCATTCACTAGGAAGAAATTCTCTTAGTAAACAAGCTAAGTTCTTCCAGATAAATGTTCTATTGAAAAATAATTGGCAATCTATTCTGAGTTGGTTTGAGATAGTATCCAAACTCTAATGTATTTAAAATATAGTGAACAAGCCCAGTTTGGGAATGCCCAAACCTGAGTTGCAGATCTGAGAAAATACTACTGAGATCAACAAATTATTTCTACTTCTTCAAGTCCTGCTTGAAAAGCTAGTGGGAATTCTGAAGACTTTCTCTGTAGTAACCTGAAGATTACGTATCTATCAGCCTCCTACATGTAGTAAGAATTCAGTAGTCATGATGACAATAACTTCATAAAAGATGGTAATGATAATTTAAAAATCCTTAACACAACTTCCAGAAATGAAGGTGAAGCTCTTCCGAACATTCGTGATCAACCAACATAAAATTCATCTTGAACTTTGATATATTACTCTTGCAACAAGACCCATAAAGAATGGCTATGCCACTATACCTCTGTTCTCAAAAGGAGTTGACCAGACAGTGTAGGTGGAGAAGGAAAAACTCAGAAGCACTTTTGGATAAACTGCTCAAAGTAGTTGCACTACTTACAATGGCTCAGCAGAGTCTTCTGCATGAACAAAGACAGTGAACGTGAGTGAGGTAAGTTGTTTTCTTTTCGGTGAAGTGAGAATCAATTAATTAATTTTGGCTTGATAAATTTTTTTGACTGCTCTGAGATACATTCCCCTAGGCCAGTCACAGTCAGTGTTGTACTGTGCAAAGTTATGCCTCACTGGTCAGTGGAACAATTAGGCTCACTGAACAAGTACAATTCAGGTCCAGCCTACTTTTTTCTTCTGTTTAAGTAACCTGACCTAACAACCGTGGGATTCTGTTGTTGACTCTTAAATATTTCAGGATTTTCAGGTTTGCTCAAGAGACACAAATGATCAATTCATGATTCAGAGACTTCTTCCTGCTCATGTGCTCAGTGTTACATTAATTAATACATTAATGTCTCCAAAGGTATCCACAAAATGTTGGGCATATAGTTTTACTGTAGAGGATTTAACTTTTCAACTTGTGAGTCTTGGGAAAATTACCTAATATCTTTAGACCCTGTTTTTCCTATTTCTAAATGGAGTTAATAATAGAAAGGTAGTAACCTGGTAAGTCTGTTGTGAAAATTTAATGAAAGTATATATGTAAAGCACTTAGATCAGTGCTTACCAAATATAAATCAACAAATTAATTTATTCAGTTTTTCCAACACTGCATGCCAGGTAGTAGAGATAAGTACTAGAGATAAAATGGTGAACAAGAATAAAACAGTTCCTGCTCTCGTGAAGCTTACAATCTAATGGAGGAGGTTGATAATCAAATCATCACAAAAACAAATACAAAGAAGAGAAGAAGGAAACAAATAGGCTTCTAGAAATAGATTAGACTTGGTTTTTGAGGGTAATCAGAGACGATTTCTCCAGGAAAGTGGTATCTGAAGGATGATTAAAAGTTAACTTGGTGAAATGGAGAAGAGAGATGGCTTTCCAGTCTGTGCTGAGGCCTGCAGAACAATGTGTCATCACGGGTTTGAAGGACAGAAAGCAATCCTGAGTGCCTGGAGCAATTGAGGAAGGGGAGCAGGATGTGAGAATAGGTGAATTTGAGATGCATGGATGTGATCCATTGAATAGCAGTTTTAAGTTTGTCTTTTTGATAAGAACAATGGGAAACTGCTAAAGAGCTTTTAAATGAGGTGGGAGGAAGGGACAGCATGAAGTACCATGATTAGATTTGGATTTTGAGATCCTCTTGGCTGTAGAAAATGGATAAGAAGAAGACCAAAGGATATAGGGGCTGTTATAAGAGATGATGAAAACTTGGACTCAGCTAATAATGGTAAAGTTGGAGAGAACTAGACAAATTTAAGAAATATTTAGGAAGAAAATCTCATATATATAAATTGGGGATGGATTGGATATGGGGATTAAAAGAGAGTAAAGTGTGGAGGATGACTCTTAAGTGTCCACTATTCACTAAGCAGGTAACATCAGAAGAGCAAGATTTGGGAGTAAAGTTATGAATTCATGTTTTGGAAATTTCATTTTGAGATTCTTTTGAGGTATTTAAGAGGACATGTTAGGTAGGCCAGAGCTCATAGAATATACATGTGTGTGTATATATACACACACACACATGCACATACATATATGTTGTTTGTGGATGGGTGATGACTTTCTCACCTGTAAAGTGAGCACACTACCTGCCTCATAGGAGTATTGTAAGAAATGAGTTCAAGAGGCTGCACATAAAGTGTCTAAATATGTATCAATAATTGTGCCAGGCTAAGAGATGGAGAAAAGGCACTAGTACGGTAATGGGAGAGTGATATGGAAATGCCAGAGGAAATGCTGCAAGAAGTGTCAGACGAACAGCAGCCTGAGGCTAGTGTGATAAACACAATAGTCTGATATACACCACTTTTGAAGGTTGATCATTAGATTCTGTTAGCAAGCTACTTAAATGTTTTCTAAATGAGCAATTACTGAACCTGAAGTCTGGAAACCGCTCTTATTAATACTGACTACAACATTAAATTATTCAAGGCAAGTTTTCATGGAAATTCATGAGCATTTATTCATGGCCACTAGTCCAATGTGGTAAGGTCAATGAAAAATTCCTAGGACTGAAGCTGAACCAGAGAAAGAAGGAGATAAGTGTGTTCTAGGAAGAGTGAATAATACAGAGACTTAAAAAAGCACAGACTTGGGGCGCCTGCCTGGCGCAGTCGGTTAAGCATCCGACTTCAGCCAGGTCACGATCTCGCGGTCCCTGAGTTCGAGCCCCGCGTCAGGCTCTGGGCTGATGGCTCAGAGCCTGCAGCCTGTTTCCGATTCTGTGTCTCCCTCTCTCTCTGCCCCTCCCCCGTTCATGCTCTGTCTCTCTCTGTCCTAAAAATAAATAAACGTTGGGAAAAAAAAAAAAAAGACTTTAAAAAAAAAAGCACAGACTTGTAAAGACAGAGCGGGATGAAAGGGGTGAAATTATCTTGGAATTAATAACATTTGGTGAGTGACAGGGATGATATTGGATAGGTTAAGGGATAAAATGTTGGAAAGCAAGTAAATGATGGGGTCTGTCAGAAAATTGTAAGCAGGGAAATGACTGGACTTGCTTTTTAATATTTATTTATTTATTTATTTATTTATTTATTTATTTATTTATTTAAATCTTTTGTTTAAGTTTATTTATTTATTTTGGAGGAGAGAGAACATGTGCGCCCATGAGTGGAGAAAGGGCAGAGACAGAATCCCAAGTGGGCCCTGTGCAGACAGAGCCCGACGTAGGGGTCGATCTCACAAACCTGTGAGATCATGACCTCAGCTGAAACCAAGGTTCAGAACATCATATAGACCAGAGAATGGAATTGAAGACTGGAGAGACAGGGTTATCAGTTATGACAGTTGAACAAGTAAAAGACAGAAGCCTGATGTCCAGGAGGCCATTTGCAAAGTGGTCTGGATTGGAGATATAGAGAAAAAGATATATAGATGTATGTTGGGGATTATCAGCTTATACTAGGTAATTTAAATCAGAGTAAATGAAATAAATTAAGGACAACATATAAAGTGAAAAGAGATAAAGAATTTGAAAAGGACCCTGTGAAACAGCATCATTTAAGGAATAGGTACAATAAGAGGATCCTGGGGGTGCCTGGGTGGCTCAGTTAGTTAAGCATCCGGCTCTTGATTTCCACTCAGGTTGTGATCTCACACTTTGTGAGATCGAGCCCCCTGTATGGCTCTACACTGACAGCATTGGGCCTGCTTGGGATTCTCTTTCTGCCCCTCTCCTGCTCACACATGTGCATTCTCTCTCTCTCAAAATGAATAAGTAAACATTAAAAAAATAATAAGAGGATCCTGAGGTCTCTTATCCAATGATCCTCATTCTTAAAAGTTCTTCTTTATGTCTAACTTAGGTATATCATGCTGTATTCAAAGTCTGTTTCCTCTGTCCACTCTCCAGTTGAGATAGAAAGCAGCTGTTCATCATCTTGTATATAACAACCCTTCCTCTGCTTGAATACTGTTATTAAGAAACCTGGTAGTCTTCTCTAACTTAGGCTAAATAATTTCTAGCTCCCATCTTCCCAACCCTTTAATCATCTCTGTGACTCTCAAATCCCTTCCACTTTCTCCACATCCTTCTTTAACTGTGGAGTCCGTTCCTAGATGTGCTTTTGAGATTCACTTTGAGGATCATGGAAGAATTTTCTTAAATTTTTATGTGGTAACTTTATGTATCCCAGTGCTATGCTTGGACTTCATGTCAAATACAGGATTTCTAGTAAACCAATTATTTTGGCTATTTATGTGTAACCGGCTAAATTTTTGTATTTATTGTTAACATTAAATCCATGTTGATTGTGACATTTCAAAGAGATTATTCTCAATACCTTTAGGTGATTGAATGAAATAAGTTTATCTGCCTTGGTTTCAGTTTGGGTAGGAGGTAAAAGCTCTGTACTCCATGTACTTGCATAGGGTGACATAGATGAAGCATCTGTTCTTTTTCATCTCCCCTTTCTTGGTTAAACTGTAGAGTCAGATTAAACCGTTAGTGTGAAGGATCCTCAGTTATTTCACATGTCTATCTCTCCTACTCCACTGTGAGCTCCTTGAAGAAGGAACACAGTTCTGGTTATCTTTATATTCTCAGTTCACTTTTTTATCTCTCAAGGAAAATCACACTTGATGCCTGCCTTAAGTCAAATGTGGAAAAGGAAGGTCTTGACCAGCAGTAGCACTCAAGTTCCTTCTTGCTTGTCAGCTCCAGTTGACTGGTGGTAATTTAATTACTGCTTAGCAATGTGATTAGAAGGATTCTGAAGCAGGGTCCTAGATCATGAAAAAATGTTGTGGCAAATTAGAATTTTCGAAAATTAGAACTGTGAATTGCTATATCAAATTGTTTACCTTGGACATGGGACATAGGAAAGGAGGCACAGGTAGCCGGTATTTGCCATTAAAAGCAACAGGAGCTATGGCTTCATTCCGATACAGTGCCTTAGTGCCAGACAAGTAATGGACTGCTTCTGTGAGAAAGAAAATAGCACTTTGTTCAGTTTATAGATCATAGTGAAAACAACAGAAAATCTCAGAGGTCATGGCTCCACTTAAAACACACACACACACACACACACACACACACACACACACACACACACCATGGAAAGAGCCCAAATGTCCATTGATGGATGACTGGATAAAGAAGATGTGGTATATATATACAATGGAGTATTGCTCAGCAATCAAAAAGAATGAAATCTTGCCATTTGCAACTATGTGGATGGATCTAGAGGGTATTATGCTAAGCGAAATTAGTCAGAGAAAGACAAATATCATATGACTTTACTCATATGAGGACTTTAAGAGACAAAACAGATGAACATAAGGGAAGAGAAACAAAAACAATGTAAAAACAGGGAGGGGGACAAAACATAAGAGACTGTTAAATATGGAGAACAAACAAAGGGTTACTGGAGGGGTTGTGGGAGGGGGGTTGGGCTAAATGGGTAAGGGTCATTAAGGAATCTACTCCTGAAATCATTGTTGCACTATATGCTAACTAACTTGGATGTAAATTTAAAAAAATAA